ACCACTCAGTGACCAACACCTCTCCAATCCCAGCAAACAATTTCAAAACAGGTAAGTCCCGACATCGCAATCCTGGATGAGTGAGAGGCACGACAACAGAGTGAGAGACAGCACTCTGAGAGAGACCTCGAAAGAGCCAAAGCACTTCTTTGTGGTCAACCCTCATCTGTATACTGGCCATCTATATATTGGCCAATTTGGCCCTCAATCCTAAGTCTAAGTTCAAATCATAAGGAGGGTCGTGGACCCTCTGTCCCAGCCATGCTCCCCCCTATCCTGTTGTGCTCCTGCACACTGACAAGAACACGGCAGCTGAGAAGTCCTTGAGGCCTCAGTGCCAACTACAAACATCAGTGCGCTGTCAACGTTCTTCTCAGGGCAAGTCCCAGACTAAAACCAAAACACAGAGCTCTTCTACCTGCTGAAAAGAAAAACTAAATCTGTCCCAGCTAAATCAGAACAACTTGTTAGGTCAGTTTCCTGTCTCTGACAAGGGCCAATTGTGGATCACATGGAAAAAGTCTAAGAATGGGGAGAGTGTGCACTGATCTTTCTCCTAGGATTCTTTTTTCTAACATATTGTCTCTGAGGACATCCTCCTGCTTTCCAGTGATCTGAAATTCAGGGGTTTCCTGAGATGAGTTTATATCTGCATCTTTGTATTTAGTAGCTCTCAGTAGACTTTTCTTCTGTGATTATATCTAGCTGCTTTTTTTGAAGCAGTTTACTTCTTGGTCTCCACGATATAGCCTGTCCAATTATGCTCATTCTGAAAAAAATTTCTGTCTATTTGCTTTAAACCTGTTGTTTGTGTGGGTCATTTGAGGACCCTAGCTCTTGTATTGTGAGATACAATGGATAATAATTCTATAATCACCTGCTGAAGGTATTTAAGATGTGACAACATCCATTACATCTTCCTTTTGCTCAATGTTGCTTTCCTTCTCTAATCCAGTCATAATCTGTTTAACTCTCCTCATGTAGAGCAGTTCATATGTTCAGTCACGATTCTTGCCCTTGTGTCTACTCTAGTTCTGCTGTGTATGTTTTGAAATGGGAAATACTGCATGCAGTGTTTGAGATGTAGATTTGAAGGGTGCATAGTGATGCTTTGTATTTTGTTCTGTAATTCCTTTCCTAGCATTTACCAGCTTTGCCTTCATGACTACACTTAGCTCACGTATGCTGGGTTTTCTGTGGCCTTGGACTTTATTTTCAATTTCATGACAGTCAGTTGAATGTCACTTTTGTAACATTAGACAGTCATCTTAAGTTTTTACCAGCTTGAACATGTTGATATTTAAGTACTCACTTAGAATCTTCGCTTAGTTTATGAGTGTATCCAAACCAACAGACACTGGAGTATTCTGCTGGAATTTCCTGTTCATTTTGAGTACTGCCACTTTTTTTCAAAGAATTGCACAGGATAAACTATATGTTGGTACAGTGTATATAATCAGTTGTAAATAGTTTTAAATCAAAAGAAATACATAGTGAAAAAAAATTCATGAAATAATCTTTCTTGTATTTGCTAATGCTACAGCTAAATGAATTAAGAAGAAATACATCAATTAATTTTGATGTTTTTTAAAAATTCACAGGAGATACCTGATTTTTTAGTACCTTACTGGGAAATGGTAGAAAATGCATATATGAATACCATAAAAACTATACTTAGATGTCTAAGGGATGAACAGCACTCTGTGATTTATTACTTAGCAGACATTAGGTGAGTAGAAATAGTAGCTTACTACATTAACAATAGTATTTTGTATTTTCCCTGTGGCATTCTATGTGTCTTTTAACACCAAAATTATTATTATTGTAATTTACAGAAAAAAATTCCAGGATTATTTGAAGCGTCCAGATCTTAAGCAGGAGTTTGTATCTGAGTGGCAAACAGATTTTAATTCAATTGCTGACGACCTGCGAGAAGATGAGGAAACAAAAGCAGAACTACATCAAAGAGTTACTGTAAGTAAATGATAAAAGTTGTTATATGCTCTGAAGTATTATTCATTGTATACAGGTTCGATGTAACATGAATGATTTTTTTTTTTTTTTTCATTTTTACCACTCCTCTTAAGCTATTCACTTTCTTTTATACATAAAGTGTTTGTCACAATTTGTCTGGGTTTTGGCCATATCTTGTGTTTTGCTTCTTTTTTTTAAGTTATGCTGTGGTACTCTGGCACATTGTAAAATAAGTATTTTTCTACTTTTTCTTTACTCATTATGTTTTTCAGAGATTTTATTCACAGGTTTGGACATTTCTATCACATTCTAACAGATCTTGCCAGTCACTTAGTTTTTCCATAAAAGATGTATGGTAATATGTGTTTTCTAAAACTAATTAGTACAAAGTACAGAGAATTTCTTTGAAATGTTTTGACTCAGTTAGATCTCTGCTAGGTCATACATGTCCTGAGAGTTCTTCACAAAAATCTGTAAGAGTAAAGGTCCTAAAAAGTTAAGGGCCAGATTTAATATAAGAAAGAGTTAGAGCTATCTTTGAATTTATCAGATTCCCATTAGAGAATAGACATGATTTTTATTTGAAATCATATCAGGAAATGCTCCCAGAAGATGGGGAAAAAAAAATGCTGGCAACATTGTTAGTTGAAGGGAACATTGGTGGGTTAGTAGGTCGAGAGAGGTTCTCCTCTCCTTCTACTCTACCCTGGTGAGGCCGCATCTGGAATATTGTGTCCAGTTCTGGGCCCCTCAGTTCAAGAAGGACAAGGAACTGCTTGAGAGAGTCCAGCGCAGGGCTACAAAGATGATGAAGGGAGTGAAGCATCTCCCTTATGAGGAAAGGCTGAGGGAGCTGGGTCTCTTTAGCTTGGAGAAGAGGAGACTGAGGGGGGACCTCATTAATGTTTCTAAATGGATAAAGGGTCACTGTCATGAGGATGGAGCCAGGCTCTTCTCAGTGGCATCCAATGATAGGACAAGGGGAAATGGATATAAGCTGGAACATAAGAGGTTCCGCTTAAACATGAGGAAGAACTTCTTTCCAGTGAGGGTAACAGAACACTGGAACAAGGCTGCCCAGAGAGGTTGTGGAATCTCCTTCTCTGGAGATGTTCGAAACCCGCCTGGACACGTTCTTGTGTGATCTGATATAGGTGGTCCTGCTCCGGCAGGGGGATTGGACTAGAAGACCCTTTGAGGTCCCTTCCAATCCCTAACTTTCTGTGATTCTGTGATTCTGTGAATCATGGATGAATTCACTTAGATGGAAAAATCATTGGACCTCCTGTTCTACAGCATTATTTCAATAGAATGAAGTAGAGGACTTAAAAATCTTCATCCATATTCCTAATTTCTACTAAACAAAATTATTAAAAGGCTGTAAGCACTCTGTCCTATATTTTAGAAAGCTAAAATTTAAAATATTTAGCCTTTCACTCATAATAGAAATCCACGTTTGATATTGTCCATTTCAAATTAGGTTAAAAGGAGGTGATAGTCCCATGTGATGCAGTGACACTAAGATGCTGTGATAAGACTAAGCACAGTAAGTAAGGCAGTTTGGAGTAACTGTACGATTTCCAGAATTTCTGTTTCTGAATGACCCATTCTAGTCCTTGTGGATCCCAAACCTGTGGGAAAATGTCAAGATAATACTACCTCCATACTTTTAAGCCCTCCCCGTTGTACCTCCCTGAATGTGAGAATTCGGTCATCCATCCTTCCTTAATGCTGGAAAAGGAGAGAGAGGAAATGAAGAAAGTCATAATCTGTGGAATGTTTTTCCTCAAACATTTTCAGCTTTCCCAGACTGCTCAATTCTGACATCTCAGCTGGGCCCTTTCCACACCAGAGGCTGCCAGCGGTGAAACCTGAAATCCAAATTTCTCTGATACCAACTGAAAAATATAATGTACCCCATTTTGTGATGTGTGAAAAATTTGTCAAAGGCCTAAAGCCCAAAGAGCAGCCAAGGTTTTGACATCCTGAAGATTCAAACTCAGAATCGCTGTGGATAAAATACACTTCAGCAGCCCATCTCGGTTACATTGTCTTTCAGCAATTTATCCAACTTCCCCTCTCCATTGCTATCATCTAACATGGTCAGTCACTTGGTCACACTTCTTCTCTTGTTCCAGATAGGACAGAACTTAGCACATGCATCTATCTCTTCTTTTTTTCACTGACCTTAGTACAAGGAAAGAAAGAGAGAGAAGCTGCTTCACTTTGAAAAGAGGAAGAGTGGTGGAAGAGAAAAAGAAGGGACACATGAAACATGGTTTTAACTTCTCCTAGAGGAATATACCTCATTGTCTCCCTCTCCAGTTATGTTCACTACTTATTGTAAATCAAAACTATGACTTGAATAACATGAGGGTGAAGAAGAAAATGGTCCTCCTTTTGTGTCTCAGGAAGGTTCTGGAAAAAGCTGTTCATCAGTTTGTTCAAAATATCAGTTTGTTTTGTTTGTATAGTATTGGGTTTATGTGGCCAGGTTTTGGTAGCAGAGGGTCTCCAGAGGTGGCTTCTATAAGAAGACATCAGGGGCTGCCTCCATGTCAAACTAAGCCACTGTCAGCCACGTCCAAGATGAACCTGCAGCTGACCAAAGCTGAGCCAATCGGCGACAGTGGTGGTGCCTCTGTGATAGCATGTTTAAGAAAGGGTAAAAACTGCTGCATGGCAGCTGTGAGAGAGGAGTGAGAAAACGTGAGAGAAACAATTGTGCAGTCACCAGGGTCAGTGAAGAAGAAGGAGGAGATGTTCCAGGCACCAGAACAGAAATTCCTCTGCAGCTCATGGAGAAGACCATGGTGATCCAGGTTTTTCCACTGCAGCCCATGGAGGACCATGGTGAAGCAGATATCCACCCTGCAGACCATGGAGAGAGAATCCCATGCTGGAGCAGGTGAACATGCCCTGAAGGGAGTGGCAGCCTGTGGAGATCCCACACCAGAGCAGGCTCATGGCAGTAACTACAGCTTGTAGAGAGGATCCCACGCAGGAACAGGTGTTCTGACAGGACCTGTGGCCTGTGGGGGACCAAGGCTAGAGCAGTACAATTCTGAAAGACTGCACACATAGAAAGGACCCATGCTGGAGCAGCTCTTGAAGAACTGCAGCCTGTGGGAAAGACATATGTTGGAGAAGTTTGTGAGGACTGTATCCCATGAGAGGGACCCCACTCTGGAGCAGGGGAAGAATGTGAGGAAGAAGGAGCAGCAGAGACAATGCATAACAAACTCACCACAACTTCCTATTTCCTATCTTCCCTGCCCCACTTGGGAGGAAGGAGGTAGAAGAGTCGGGAATTAAGTTGAGCCTGGAAAGAAGAAGAGGTGGGGGAAACGTGTTTTTAGTTTGATTCTATTTCTCTGCTCTGTTATTGATTGGCAATAAATTAAATTCATTTCCCCAAGTCGAGTCTGTATTGTACATGATAGTAATGGGTAAGTGATCTCCCCATCATTATCTTGACCCACGAACTTTTCCACCATATTTAGTCCCCCTGTTCTGTGAGAAGGGGGAGTGATAGAGCAGCTTGGTAGACAGTTGGCAGCCAGCCAAGGTCAACTCACTACTGCAAAAGAGATAAGTGGTATGTTTATATCTTTTTTATTCAGTAGCACATCCTTACGTGTATATAGAATTTTCATAGAATTTCATAGAATTTCTAGGTTGGAAAAGACCTTAGACTAAGATCATCCAGTCCAACCGTCCCTAATCCCCCATTAAACCATATCCCTAAGCAGTTCATCCATCCTTTCCTTAAACACATCCAGGGATGGGGACTCAACCACCTCCCTGGGCAGCCTATTCCAGTGGCTGACAACCCTTTCAGAGAAGAAATGCTTCCTAACATCCAACCTGAATCTCCCCTGACTAAGCTTATACCCATTTCCTCTTGTCCTATCACCCATCACTAATGTAAAGAGCCCTTCCCCCACCTCCCCACCATCCCTTCTCAAGTATTTGTAGGCTGTAAACAGGTCTCCCCTCAGCCTCCTCTTCTCCAGGCTAAACAGCCCCAATTCCCTCAGCCGCTCCTCATAAGTTTTATTTTCCAGCCCCTTGACCAGTTTAGTCGCCCTTCTTTAGACCTGCTCCAGGAGCTCGATATAAGCGAGGGGCCCAAAACTGGACACAATATTCCAGGTGCGGCCTCACCAGTGCCGAGTACAGGGGCAGGATCACTTCCCTGTTCCTGCTGGTCACACTATTCTTGATACACTATGGACAACCATGAATATCTGATAGCCTTCACCTTGGCTATCTTCTACCTACGCCATTGTGGATGTGTTAGGCAGGCCAAGGATTACTCATTTGTCAGCTTCTCTGTGGCTTTTGTCCGACAGAGGACAACTGGATTTGTCTGAAGTCTTTGGATCGGGAGAGAAACAGGATCTGACATTGACATATTAGACTGAGACCAAGACCTAGTGAATATGAAATCACTTACCACCTGAAGCCTAAGCAACTCATTTCAGGGCTAGTAGTCTGGAACACCTTTTCCCTTTATCCTGAAACGGGTTGTCCTGGTTTTGACTGGCTTAGTAGCTTGAATAGTGCTATGTTTCGGATTTAGTATGGGAGTTGTTAGGAGAAGAATGTTGATAACATGCTGATGTTTATAGTTGTTGCTAAGATGTCAAGACTTTTTCAACTTCCCATATTTTGCTAGTGTGCAGATGCACAAGAAGCTGGGGAGGGAGCATAGCTATAGCAAAGGACTCACAACTCCTATTTTAGGATCTGATTTTAGGTTTAAGATTGAGATCCAAATTGGCCAATGGAATATTCCATATCATTCAGTGTCATGCTCAGCATATAGATGAGGGTTGTTGGGGAAGCTATCTTTGGATCTCTCCTCAGATCTCTTTTCGGGGCTCTTGCTCTTCTGGTATTGCAGTTTCAGGACTTCTCTGTCTTGGGATTGCTAGCCAGGCTGGGCCAGGCATTGATCAGCGGGTGGTGAGCAATTGCACTGTGCATCACTTGTTTGTATGTGTTATTATAATTTCTATTATTGTTTTTATCATTATGACTTTTAATTTTATTTTAATTATTAAATTGTTCTTTTCTGCCCACGAGTTTTCTTCCCTTTACCTCTTAAATTCTCTTCCCCATCCACCAGGGCTGGGGGAACGTGGGCAAGTGGCTGCGTGGTTTTTAGTTGCAAGCCAGGTTAAACAACAACATGGGTCAGGTGGGGCAGAACTGCTTGGAGCCTGAGAGACAGCTTATCTCAACCTACCTTAGTGCTGTGTTTAACACCTCTCTTCTCTTCCCATCACCTCTTATTACATAGAGGTCTATCACACTATTTCCATGCAGAGATGGCAATGGGAAGCAGACAACTTGCATCCATGTATGCTCTTCAGCACTGTCAGTGAGCCACATAGTGCTGCTATTAGATAGAGTCACTAGTTGAAAAGCCCTTAGTTATTAAGAACATTAAAGATAAATGGCATGGAGCTATCTAAATTGAAAGAATACTTGAACTCTGACATAATTTTCTCAAAATTTTTCATATTGCACATCTCTTTAGATTATTCTTCTTATAAGGGTATTTGTTAGCAAACCATTCAAGTGGAAAGCTGTTGGTGCAGTTGGGAGCTTAGCTATTCATATTCTCAAGTCTTTGTCTAGCTTAGATAGGTCTTCTCTGCCTGAGGAAAGCAATGTGTCCTACACATTCATCTCTCACATTTGTATTCTCTCTGGCACGTTTGTAAAGCTACTATTTTTCAGCTGAGTGTAAGCACGTCTTGTTGACCAGACTTCGAAATTTAAAACAATAAAGAAAAAGCCCCAAATGGGAAGATGGCCTGTGCACAGACAAAAATTATAATTTTTAATAATAAATAGAAATATATATATTTATGTTTTCTTTCATAGTTATTTCTCATATTTGATTTTATGTTTTAGGACCTAAGAGATCTTCTCTGGGATATCTGTGATAACAGAAGGGAAGAAGCAGAGCAGGAACGTACTGATGTCATGAATGATGGCTGGTTACCAGATCACAGGGGGATTGCAATGAACCATTTCTTTTCACTTATGCAGGTATGGATCTACTATAGAGCCTGCAATGGAAGAGGACAATGAATTGGATATGGAGGACAGTAAGCCTTAGAAAAGTTTCATATGGTTGATTCCAAATAAGTGAGGGATTGAGAATTAGATAAGAAAAGTTCATGTCTCTTCTGAATTTATCTAGAAAGTTAAGAGACAAAACATAGATGACATTCCATAAACTGAACTGTTTGGCAGGCAGAAAAAGTTAAGAAAAATACCAGTTATTGTCCAACCCCCCCAAACTTTTAATCTGTCGTGTCTAATGCTACTTTTTGCAATTCTATCAGTCCAGTGAATCATCTGAATTTTGTAACTAAAATGTTAGAGCTTTTGGTCCTTCTGTGATGATATTTATATCTGCTTTTAATTTACAAATTACCTAATTCACTACTGTTGTAACCCACTTGCTATTAAGGTTGTCTGTTATTTCCTATATCACAAGATAATTTCAGTTGTAACTTCACCAATATGGCTTGAAATTTTACCTACAGACTGAAAAAAAAAAAATTGCAAGAAATGTTTTTGAGAATGCGATGTCTTTTGTTGCTCTTGAGAAAATGTGTTCAAATGTGGCCCAGTTTTCACGCATCTAACTTTAAAGTTTTCAAGAGACCATCTTCAATTAGTTGGCTCTCTCCTCCCCCACATTAAACCTTTCCTTTCATTCAGCCTGACCATGAATTTCTTGATGTTCTGAAGTAAAGTAAGTTTTCCCTGTGAGTGCTGTTCAAGGTGCATAAATTTGGTTTAGGGCTGGGCTGGATGGAATAGACTAGACTAGACTAGACTGACTTTTCTGTAAGCTGAGTGACCATTCTGTGAAAGTTTTGGCAAGTTTAAAGAAGACAATGAAAATAATGCTTTAAACATGTGCCTTGTCATGCTAATTTTGCTGAAAAATCAGACCTAAGCAGCTTAGGGTGGGCTTCCTGCCCTTTAATTCTCTATGTTATTTTCATATATTTAATAAACAAGGGAACCACTCTTTTATCCTGTATGAGTGTTGTGGTAATTTGTGAACTAGTCATTTGCTATAGTAAGGAAATTATTAACTCTGTTTTCAAAAATCTAAATAGTCCCCTAAATAAAGACTTACAACCACTGACTAAAGAGAGAGGTCAAAATATCAAATAACTGCTGACTAACTGAACCACACTCACCCTGTAATTACAGTATTTCTAGGATTGGGTATTTTATAAATGTATCTTGAATTATATGCCTAATGGAGCCAAATTACAGTAATGTTGTTGAGCTTAAATCTTTTGGTTTTCTCCTTTTATATTCATGTATAACTTTGCAATGCTAATTCTCTTCTAGCATAATTTCATTGATATGTATGATGCAGTCCAGAGGAGACTCACTATGAATCTAATAATTTGATCTTTCTTGTGCAGATATGCAGAATAGCCATTTAAAATTACAAATACATATATTAACCATATATAAGCTTTTATTTTCCTGAAGAAAGATGCAAAGGAAACCATTTTTACTTTCTTTAGTTAGTATATACTCCCCAAAATAAATGGATTATTAATACTAAAACTACAGAAATAAAAATGTAATAGCTGTATCTTCACGTTATGGCTTTGTTTGAGAAGCAGCCAAAAATAGACTTATTTGGTCTTGAGCTCTTAGTCTGTGGGTTTTTCTGTGGGAGTTACATATATTCCCCAGGTGGCTCTGTTGCTGTATAAACACATAGATTCATGTAAATTCCGTTTATCAGATTTCTTTCCACCTTTCTGTGTACACACTATTGTACTAGAAGATATTTTCTGCTTAACTTGTGGATAAGTGCTGGTTTACACCACAAAGGTTTTATCCTTTGTTTTGTGAATGTGGTTTTGTGCATTTTCCCATGAATATTTAGTACTGTTTTGTCAGTTAGAAACTAACACCGTACTGTATCAATAAATCAAAACATGACAGGTGTTAAATGTTTTTTGAATCTTACTTGATTTCTTCCAAGATGATTCACACAAAAAGATCTTCAAGACACTTAGGTGTGTAGTCTGTTGATTTCTTTTGTCCAGAAAAACTGTATGGCTTTTAAAGTTTTCTCTATCTCTTAATCCTTTTTATTTTATGCTGTTAAAAATGTAACAAAATTAGTTCTGTCCTATTTTGAATTGTAATCTTTCTGTCCTTTCTTCTTGAGGTTGAAGTGGATCGTTTCCAAGACACAAAGAGACTTCTTCATGACTATTATAGAGCAATGGAAGGAAAAATCCCAACAGATGACAGTCAAGATTTTACTAGAATCCCATTGTTAGATATAATTGATGTAGAGCAGAAGGAAGATCAAAACAAATCAAGAAGGTAGAAATGCGTTATTAAATTACACAAATATCAATGCATCTCTGCATTATAAAACATTTCAAAAGATACCTTAGAAAGAAACCTGCTATAGAAATGTTTCCTACTTCCCTCTGTGTTGCTGACAGTTTCCAGCACAATCCTTACATAATTAAGTTAAATATTATTATGGAACATTAACAGATTTAAAATTTGCACCAACAAACATAATTAAATGGGTTATGTGGTGACAAATATAAATCAAAGCAGCCTACAAAGATGCACGGAAATGAATGCCATTTTAAAAGGTAAGGGATACCATCAAATAATTTCACAATATTAAAAATGCTGTCAATAGCGACACCTGCTTTATCTTGAACACTTATAGTTCATTTAGAAACTGAGTAATGAAGCTGTACTTCTAGCCCATGTGGAATATATCAGGAGATTATGCAGTCATTTGACATAATTTTATTCATCTATTATTATTACTTACCTTCTGCAGTTGAACTAGACACTTTTCTTGTCTTCCACACATTTCACCACTTCTGATCTTATGGAAAGTTCATCCCTTTGCTATGGCAAATTTTGAAAATATCATTCTCATTCTCTTAGTATGTTCTCCAATATAGTTATAAATTAACACTTTGTATAAAAAGGGGTGTGTATTATGCCTTTTTTTTTTTAAGGATTCCTCTAGTTTCTTGGAAACTACCTTCACCAGAAACAAATACTACCAAGTCAAAAAGCAAGGGAACTCTACAGAAGAGTGCTAAGGATGAGAATTCTGAAAATGGAGTGGCCATTTTTGAGAAAGATGAAAACCTTATTACTGATACATGGCAAACAGCAGTAACAGCAGTATCAAATATGGTAAGGAATGTTTTGTTTATTTAAACATTTCTGAATCAGGCAGTCAAAGCCTCCCATTCAGTAGACAGCCTAAACACACAGCCTTCACACTATGTATCTCAATTTCATGCCTCTTGCTCCACCACTGATATTTCCTTTGAATATGTTTGTGTTTCTACAAGGAAAATGTTGGAATCTGTGTATTATCAGCACCTCTGTATTTGTAACTGACCTTTTAATTCTATTAGCAAGAGAAACACGTTGAATGTTGACTCTATGTATCTACTTCTTCCATGATAAACTTCCTCCTTATCTGTCAATAGAAGTGTGAGAAGAGGGACAAGTTTTGTCCTGTGATGCAATGTTTGCTCAAGCCTTTCACAACTTCAAAAGCTGTGGTTACATTCTTTTTTATATATAGCTAAAAGTAAATTAGGTGAGCTTTTCAAATTGTTGGTTTCTAGGTTCATTTTTTCTTTTCTCTTTGATCATTTTCAAATAAGTCAGTTTCTGCACCCTTACAGCATACTACAGGCTTGCTTTGCATACTAATATTTCTAATACTTACATTTCTCACTTTTTCCTAGAGTACAGGTAATGGTTTACAAGAAATAAAATCACTGTCTCTCTGTCTTGCATTTTTGTTGTAGAATTTTATTTTTGTTAAATAATCAAAATGTAATAAATTAGTTAAAATATCTCCTTTGTTTTGTTTATGCCTATGTCTCAGCAAGTACTTTCAGCAAGTACAGGCTATTTGAAATGGTAGTTATACAGATTGATACTATGTACTTTACTCTGTGTGACTATGGTGTCAAGGTAAAAGCTGAAATACAGTCTAAAGAAATGGAGGAAGAAAAAGAACATCAGCAGCCGGATCTGAAAGAAGATCTGAAATCTTCAAAGACACTGTCAGGCAAAGCTACTGGGAAAGACGCCAAAGATGCCAAAAAGCTTTCTGCCAAATCAGCTGCTAAAAAGAAAGGTATTTGAAATGCAGACTTTGTTTTAGCAGTGCTTGAAGTGACTGAAATGTAAATATGTCAGTAATACAGAAAAGAGTAACCCAAGCCATTTAATTTAGATTTAATTTATCTTTTGAAATGTCAAATGTCACATATCAGTGTGAAAAGCTGTAGTGATAATGGAATGCAGAGGCTTTTTCATGGCAATTGCATTTATTTAATCATATGTGTTGTCATTATTTTATATAAATAAATAAATAAAATTTATAGGGATAAATATTCTAAAGAGAACCTAGAAAGTAAATATTATTTTTTCTCCGTGTGCTGCTTTGGAATTCAATAGTTAGAACTAGTTTATCAAATTAAATAAAATTTCATTAAATTCTGCCTACTTTCCAGGCATAAATCAAAATATTTCAATTATTAACTTGAAAGTACTGGAATACAGTAGATAAAATATCCAATACCCAAGATATTTTGGAATTTGTCAGCCATGCAGTAGCATGGATCTGTCAAAGTCCATCATTTTTATATATAACTGTAACATGGTGTAAATAAAGAATATAACATCTAATGGCATATGTAGTCCTAAAAAAGAGCAGACTGCCGTTGAGGCAGATCTTGCTTATAAGCCTGGCAAGAATCTGTCCAACCAGGTGAGAATACAAAATTTATTTGCAGAAGAGAAACAGGCTTAAAAACTCTTTTCTCTTTAGCCTTGCAATTCAGGCACTCTTCTGGAAGGAATCCTGGCATGCAATGCTTTTATACATTTTTTCATTGATACTTCCTTGAGCAAGTCATGGTTTAAGTAACTTCCAGTTCTTCCTGCAAAATGCCATAGCTCCAGCAGGATGTAAGGCTGGTAGCCTAAACCTTGTGCCTTTTGTAAAGACATTCTACGCAGCAAGAGAGAAGCTCAAGCCTACGTGGGTGTGAGGGTGGCCTGAAATTTCAGGAGTACCTGAAAAAGTGGTACTCCATTTCCAAGTGATAAAGCTGTAACTGCAGAGTTATTATGCGTAAAGGCTGACTTTTTTTTCATTGGCAGACATTTTATTTGCCCTGTACTCAGTGCTCTCTCTCTGGTAGATTCTGCTCATTGTACAAAGAGCAAATATAGCCCTGCAAATACTTAGCCACATGGATACCTAATTTGTGAGCCCCAGGGAGCCTTAGGCATGTGCTTAGCATCTCAACCCAGCCAAGACAGCGGCAGATTTTCAGATTCCTAGAAAAGCTTTATGCCATGGCACGGGGGTTGGAACTAGATGATCCAGCTAGGTCTCTTCCAACCCAAACCATTCTGTGATTCTATGATAAAAATTCAGCAGCTGTCACCTGTTGTATGCTAAGTGGCTAGGCTGGGTTTTGTGGATTGCTTCTTGGAACTAAATTTTTGTTCACATCTGGTACTGGGTGACTTACCTGAAATCACAAAACTGTAAAGTGGCAGAACTGCAACTAGAACTCAGCTGCGCATTCCTCATGGTAGAAGATGAAGTATCAACAGATATATTTGTAACTGAAGTATCAATTTTTGTTTCATACCAAATACATTGTTATCATAGTGCTCCTGTAACAGAAGAATTCCCCAGGACACAGCTATAGGCTAGTAACTGAGTGTAATTTTATCACTTCTAGATATGACCATTTGCTTTATGTTGACCTGTATCATCCAGATATCATTATTTTTTTCTGTAACAGCTCCATCTGCTCTTCTTCTAGGACAAAGCGGTTACAAATATTTCAGTCTCTTTGATTAACACTCAAAGTGTTCTGACTGTAGAATTTCATGCAGTCTTTAAAAACATGGTAAAATACAATGTCTGTTCATAGACATGTAAGTTAAATCAAGCTGCAAATGCAGCTAACAGAGTGGTTTAGAAAGGCGTGAAATAACATACCTCTTTTTTTTCTTTTTTTCTGACATTAGGGTTTTTTTTAAACACCATTATCGTTCTTTTCAGAGCTTTGATGTTAACCAATGATATTTACGAATATAGCATTACTAGCATTTGCTAAACTTGCATTTGCTCCAGAAACAGCAGCTATCATCCAAAAGAGGTTTATTTATGTGCTGGTTGTGATAAATTAGTAGATTTTAGGATCAAGGAAGACATTTTGACCACCTAGTATCACAACAGAGGCACACCTATTCAGTTGTGATTTTTCATTCAGAAATACATTTTAGGATATTATTTGTTGTATGTGCTGAAGTAATTTAATGCAGTGTTAATCTTAGCATGTCTTGCAGATGTAAATCACATTTGAAGAAATCTAAATATGTTATGTTGACATAACACACCTGAGTAACAACCTTGGTATTCTCATAAATGGTCACATCAAGTATGCCATTTTTCGTTTTAAAAAATGTACATACGGATACACAAACTTAACAGCAAAGTCCAAAGACTGTGAGAGGTGTATTTTTCTGCAGGACTACCTCCTACTGCATCTGCGGTTGAAGTCAGTCCAGTTCCTATAACCCCAGAAGAATTAAAGAAACAAGAACTGGCACGTAAAATAAAGCAAGAATATTTCAGTGCCTTGAATCATGAGGGTATGTCACTATTTGTTTACTTATAGTGCGAGGTGATTATTAGTCCTAAATTAGGTAGTGTAGCAGCTGAAACTAGCCAGAAATTCTAGCGAAAAAGGGTGGATAAGTAAGAAAAAGGAGAGGATAGAAAGGAGTGACTGGAAAAATGGATTTTTTTAGAGTGGTAGTGATTTTGTGGTAAATATATTTAAAATAGAAATGTGTGTTTCATTCTTTTTGTTCTCTTCTGCCTAATTTAATTTAATTTCATTTTACATGACTAAGCAAGTATTCATCATGAGAGAATAAATTTCACATACTTGGTTACCCACTCTTCAGAATTCAGTTGAATTGAATTCAGTATTTTAAATGTTTTGATGTGGGAAATAATTTGTTGCAATTGTATATTTCATTGATGCTCTTCTCGCTGGTTCCTTCTTCCTCACGCCACATGGGATTCAAGTAGCAAGACACTGATTTTCTTTATTCTTCCAAATTCCTTTCCAGACAGACACTTCCAAAAACTACATATTGTTCAGTCATGCCGTCTCTTTGTCTGTCTTAGCCAGTAACTTCCAAACCAACTGATCAGTTTCAGACAAAAATAGATGTCTGAAAAACAAAAATCCCAAATTGAAAATGGGTTGAAATTTTTGTTGAAGACGGGTTTAGACTAGAAGAAAAAGACCTCTTTCTCACTAAAGGGAAGATAGAACCTAGCTGTTAGGGATTCTGTTTGGCAACAGTTGGCAGGCCCATCATTATGTATATTACCTCCTTGGCAGGCTAACTTTTGTGTAGTATTTATTATGAAAAGTAGAGGGCAAACAGTAGTTAATGAACAAAACACAAGTTCATAAGCGTTCTTTAGATACGCATCAGACCAAATGCTTGAACACCTACCACCTTCCTCATGGTTTAATCCAAAAGCAATTTAGGAATAAATATTTTAAGATTTTGAGATAACGAGGAAAGGAATGGTAGTAACTTTGAAGATCTTAATAGTATGAAGATGAACTTTAGTGATTCATTGAAATGTTTGGTTTTCTTGAGGTTGCTATATTTTCATTTTATATTTAACAAAAAAGCCAAGATAAGAATCTAAAGAAGACTAAACATGTTGAGTTATGTTTCACGATTGCACAAGAACATAGGTGGTTCATTTGAGGATCATAGTTTCACTTGCAGTTATGGTAACTGGATGCTTGGCTTTTGGTTATACAGATACATAAGGACTCGCAGTCCCTAGATGTGAACAGTTGCCAAGTTTTTAATGTTGATTTCATATTCTGTTCATGTGTTTCATCAATGTGCCTTGCCTTTTACTCTGCTACTGTTAAGAGACAAGCTTTATCAGTGGACTATGCAATACCTGCTTCTGAAAATGGAGAGAGGCAAAAATTGTCATACACTTTGTAACATACTGATAACAGCTACTCAAAGAAAATGCAGAGAAGTCACACGTAAGGCAGCCTTAAACTGCATTAAAAAAAGGTGACTAGATAGGCATAAAGCATCCTTTAAGGTACTTTCAGTTGCTTAGAACCTTTACTTTTATGTCTGCCATCAGATAAAATAACCCTCTGTGAGACTCAAATCCATTCTATGTTTAAAATTTTGAACATCAACTCTTTCTTGCTCAAAACAGAAAATGTGCAGAGTTGCATTCCACTTGTGACTGAGAAATAATATCAAAAGTATATGCCTTATATTTTTCAAAGTCCATCTTTCTATGTTGGTTGCCTAAAGAAAGTTTCCTCCCCGAACTTGAGTATTTTGAAAACTTAGTAGCATATAGAATAAAGATTATAAGGTAAATAATTTTACAGTCTTTAATTTTGAAGTCACTGTACCAGTTGCTATATAATAGTGGTTGCTCAATATTCTGCAGTACAGAAGGTTAAATATGAAGAAAAATAAAGCTGGATAATGAATTTGCCTTCAGGATTGAAAAAAATCTCTAGCCACTGCTCCTCTTTTCTTACTCTTCTTTTGTAAGCTTTGAATGTTTTTCAGTGCCTGTTCCTCATGTCTCTCAATACATTACCTTAACTGTCTTTTCCTCCAGTTGGTATCCTTTGCACTTGACATTGCTGACTTATTCCCATTTCTTGTACTTCTAGCTCTTTTTTTTTAAAGTATTAGCCTCACAGTGAGAGACTGATTATTTTTTTTCTCAGTTCTTCCCATTCTGAAAAAGGAAAAATCATGAAATTCTCAATACTTTTAGAAGTTTCATGTAAATACTCTGTGCATAATTTTGATAGAGGTGAATTATTTTCTTAGTGCTCACTAATCAAACTCTTTTTTAATGTAACCTGAGTTTTAGAGTATAAAATAGTCATTTATAGGAAGCTTGGAGCAAAACCAGTAAGGTTAATTTTAAAAGACTGGAGGTTAGAAATAGAAAAGCAAACTTTTATTGTGATTAACATACATGATGATGTAGATGTGAGGGTTTTTTTAAATTTATCTGTAACATGCATCATCAAGTTTCTAGGTTTATTGCTATACAGTGTTAATTCAGTTCAATGTCACTGTCTACTTAAAAATCCTTTATACCTCTACATTAGTTTTATTAAGATATTTGTTACCTTGTGAATTCTGATGCTTATAGAAGACACACTTTTGTAAAATGCATGGTGCAGTAGGGCGGATTCTGAAAAATAATTTGTCAAGAATATGAGAAATTAAGTATTTTACTGCCTAAAACCAGGTTAACATGTTAAAGTTTATGCACTTAAGACTGATAATTTTCCTCAAATTTTAAAAATATTAATTATTATGATATTACTGTTTAAACAGAGGTAGCCGCAAAATCTCGACTAGAACTTATAAAAGAAAAAGCTTTAGCATTTGTTGAAGAGCTAACAATGAAAGCAGAAGAGGCTTATAAAGACATGGAAAAGTGGCTTGGATCCAGGTTCTTGGCAGAAACGTCCAGGTAATGTATATCCAGTGTTAAACAGGAACCTTTTTTTCAAACTAGACTATGCTAGTAAAGAAAATTGTTTATATAGAAGCAAATAATTTGAAAAAAATATATAGAAAATTATCATTTCATTAATTGGAATTTGATTTTATCTGAAATGCTTGAATGGTAATAACTAATTTCTTAGATAATTAGAAAGTTCTGCTGGCAGCCGAAGAGATAATTATCAGTTCTGATGTTTTTCTAGACTACAGATCTAGCAGATTTACAAGCATCAGCAGGCAACCACTTATTCCATTTAGTAGAAGCCTCTATATCATTTTAGTGGCTTCTATCACTTTGAATTGTAGGGATATTTTCTTTCCTATGCTTTACAAATGCTGGAAAATTCCACCTACTCTTATTATCACCATGGATAACATTTCTCAAAATTATTTCAAAGTCCATTGAAAAAAAGTTCTTCTTCACAATTTTTCTGTCCTGGTAAATAAAAGGTGCTTGAGACTGCTCTATGACCCTGAAGCCATCTGTCATAGAATGACATATGTCCATATCATTAAAGGATTTTAGTCTCGAAAAGAAAGGAATCTCTTTGCCTTTTGGAAAATATTTCTGGCCTGTTCTGACTCCTAAAGCATACCTGGGACAGTGCTGGTTGATCCGCGTCAGGGCAAGCCCAAGACAATAGACACGAGTGTAGAATTTGAAGGCTCTGCCTTCCAGGTAGTTTTATTTTCCCTCCTGACAATAAGTGCTACTGAGGACACAGTATTTATAGAACATTGTGTCCTTTGACCTGACACCCCAGGCCAAACCTGTGTCTAGTTGAACGTTATAGACAGCTGATGTCTTTTCCTGTATAAACTGTACTCATACTCATCACACTTGAAACAGGAGTTCATATGTCCCTTCACAATGCTACTCTAGAAAGTGCTTTGTATGTCTAGAATTTAAGGACAGAGCAGAAGACAAGGCACGGATATAGGCTAAAGTATGGTTACAGGTGGAACACGTATGCTCCACCCCTGTAAAATTAATGGAATAGAGAAAGTCTCTTCCTTTCATATTTTCCCATGAGGTCTCTTCTGTGCCTTTATATAAATTTCTTACCACAGTCAAAAGATTTCTTGCTGCCAGGGGAGGAGTACACTTCATAATGATTTTGCTGAGTACAGAATTTATGCAAAGGATTTGTATTTCTTGCTTCAAGAAAGCTTTCAAAGCATGAACACTATAAAATTTGAACCTATATGTATTAAAAGTACTCATTGTTTTTTTCATTTACACTTCCACAGTGTTGAAAGGCTGATTGAGGTTGCACGACATCACATTGAGAGTTCTAGCAAAATCCAATATGAAATTACTTTAGAAGAAACAGATTTCTTTATCAACAGTGATGTAAAAGTGATTCCTGACCCGGTTCCTCCACCACGTGTTCCACACGTAGAGACCTCTGGAAGTGCTGCTCTAACTATTTCACAACTTACTACACTTCATAAGCAGTTTCTACAGGTGGCACCTAAAGGTCAGCAAAATGTTTCCTTTTCACTCCTGAAGGACTATTAGTTACCTACTTAAAATTTAAAGTAACTACTTTGTATGCAAGTGTTAACTCAGATATGTATTTTTTCTTCCTTTGTACATGCGTTTATGGTGTGCCTGCTCTCTAATGATGTGAACCTTAGGCTTAGAATGCTTGAAAAGACTTCCTTGCAAAACTTCCTGCTGCTGTTAAAAAATAATTTAGTCAAGGCAGTTTTAAACTGAGATGGAAAGTAGTTAAACACATATTTGCAGAGGATTTCATTAGCACCAGCGTCCCATATTATAATTACAATTTTAATATGATTGCCTCTAAGATCATGAAATACTATATGTAAACATATAATTACAATTTTGGATCCAATCTTCCAGTATAATAAGACCACAAAGGCACAATGAAGTTGAATTTAATTCTTTGTTCAGAAATAAAGAATATGAAATGCCTTTCATATATATTTATGGAGAAATTGCAATTACCTTTTGAGCATGAACCCATTTTAGATAGAAAGATGTTTATAGTTTTCCTTTAGAGAGATGCATATCATCTTATCTTTAGTGTAGGAGCATGGGGGTATGTGTAAGCATTTCAAATTCTTCTACAGAGATTAATTTAGCAGGTAGCATTGCCATGTGAAACTGAAAATCTGTACATTTGTAATCAGTAGGTAGTGCCATAGAGGTGACACACAGATACCAGTTTCTCTGGTCATTCCACTAAAAGGTTTTCTTTTGGTTTGAAATTGTTTATTCGATCAGATATTTAAAACTAAAAAATTTTGTCTAATACAAACTCTAATATTCTTGACGTGTTTAAGACAAAACAACTATTTTTCTTGCACAGTTGGAGCAATTAGTAAGAAGACAACTGAAATCTTAATCTTTCTGCAATATTGTCCTTTCGATAATGTTACATTCATTGAAATGATCCAGACTTGCATGGCTATCTAGAAAGGTAAATGTCTTGACTTAATAGTTACCAGACAGTAAAAGAATGCTGTTGCATGTTCTGTGGGACAATGGTAAGGAATTATTGCTTAAATAAGGTCCCAAGGAACATGCAAGACCATTTTTCTACTGTCTGGTGACAGTTAAGTCAAGATATTTACCTTTTTGGATAGCTAAATTAAGATGGGAAACATAAGCTGTGCAGGTCATCTTTAAAATAGCCCCTTCTGTTCTCTTACACACTTGAGGACTGCATAAATTACATCCCAGATTTCCTAAGGCAACCATTCCCTTTCATTATAGAGACTCCACAGGAAGTGTTAAATCCTTCCTCTCCTTTCTCGACAGAAAATACATTCGTCCTTAGTAGCAAGTCTTTTACTGAACAGAAGAGGAAAAAGACTAAAGCACCCAGCACACTGGCAGTAAAACTGTTGGACAGCAGCTCTAAAGGAGACACAGAAAAGTAACAAGCTGTCCTGGAGAACCTCTAAACAGATCTAGATTTGCTGCCACACATCTTAGCCTTCTAATTCTCACTCCCCTGAGTAGTCCTCTGAGCATTCCTAACAGAAATCCACACAAACACGCACACAAGACATAGACTGTAGGGCAAGTGTAAATAGAATAAATCTACCAATCTTCTGTAATATGTAAATAGCAAAATTCCTTAAGTTGTTTCTGAAAATAGAATATTAGGCTTATTTTTTATAGCATTTTGGAGGTTACAAGACGAATAATGTTACCTAGAAATTGAAGCAAAACAGAGTAACAAAGGAGAAATTACTATGTTGAAAGAAATAAACATGCAAACAGTTTTCTCACAGGATATTTGGTAAATGTCAAAAGGATGTCGTTTCAAGATGTGTTTAGCAAATTGACAAAATGAAAGCAAAAAAGTGTGAGTGCTGATATACTCAAAAATTGTTTGGTATTTACAAAAGCAATCTTGTAAAAATTGTAAACAGTTTTATGTTTCCTAGGAATTTAAAGTATTAAAGAACGGCTGATTCATCACAGACAACTTTGTTCTATCCTGCACACTTGGTTCTCCTCGGAAGCACATTACTCACCCTTCTAAGCACCAATGGACGAAAAATACAGCCTATGCTGGACCTCCCTACCTACTGGCACAATCTTTCATTTGAGAAGGAAATATTTAAATTATTATTTTTTTTATTATTCCAAATGCCATTACCCAAACTCAAGGTGGCTCTGCAGTATTTGTTAATTTCACCAACTCATTTGATCAATTTGTTAACAATGTTTTAATATATTGCCTCAGCAACATGCTGCTTTTTCATTTTCCTCCTTTATTTATTGCCTTCCTCACACAAGAAGAAGGAAGAACTGTGGCAGGTCTTAAATAAAGCTACTAACACTCTTTTTTTTTCTTGTCTCTTCTACAGTCTCTTTGGATATGCTATGTTCTTACCAACAAAATTAAACTAACCATTTATTAGATCTTGTCCCCTTTGATTCCCTTTAGCACTATATTCTTCCTATGATCACATCTATTGCCAATTCAACTAGCACACATCTGGAATGTCTCAATTTTCTTCTAAAGGTGCTTCAAAGAATGCAATTTTGGTAATGCTTTGCACTCATGAACCATTCTAGTTTGAATTATAGAACTGATTATTCATCAGAAATGAACTTCAACCAGGTTTAAAAATCTTCTTTATCCAATATCAAAAAAATGTTTAAAATGCTTATTTGTAAAACTATAAAATAGTCTGCTAAGATGCGAACCAGTAAAGCATAGAGGACAGCCTATGACCAAATTTTCTTGCTCTTTCTTTTCAAATTGTTGACTTGTCAATTGAGTTTTACTATGTTGCTATGTTTGAAACAGGCATATCGAAGTGTGCATCTAGTTCAGCTGAAATTTTACCTTTTTAGTGGAATATTTTGTTGAGTGGGACAGTCAGAATTATATGATGACCCTGAATAATGTCTATAGATTATGCTTTCTCTTCCCAAGAACTTTTGTAGAAACAATTCAAGCACTTACAATAGTAATCCTTATGATCTGACTTTGATATGAATAGAGAGTGAAGTCCATATGTGAGCACAGAAATAAGATCGTTGCCTCTATCTTTTCTAAGACTGTGTTTCTTTTCGACATGCTTTTTTCAAAACTTGAACATAAGGAAGGTGAAGTTTGTAGACAAAGTATCTTTTACTAGACAAATTACATAGATAGAAAATGCCTAAACTTTTTGAGATATAAAGCCCTTAATCAGAGATCCAGATTAGATACAATAACTCTCCCTACAGATAATGGAAAATGTGGTAATTTTACTGACCTAGTTTCACTTATACCTCCTGTTATATCTCTTACTAAATCATGTATGTTATTTAATTTCAGAAATCTGTGACTGTTTGCCGATGGTGTTTAAAACTCTGTGTATCCAAACACTTTTATGAAACATATTTAGCATGTTTGTATATGTTTCTGTGCATTTGAATATATATATCCAAGTATTATGATTTCCATCAGTATGACTGAAGACCTCTCATTTCCCCTCATTGCCTCTCTGCAGCAACAGGCATATCTTACTCTGTGTAATTCTGAATTTAAAATCCAAATTCTTGCTGATTAGTGAAGACTGGATATATGAGATACCAGAATCAGTAATAATTAGTGAATAAATGAAGTAAATATTTACAGTGAAAATCACCTGCAGGAGGTGATGAGTGTCTCAATATCTCGGAGGGAATTAATCATGTTTTTGAGACTTGTCTTTTTCATCTAAGGTCAGAAGTATCCCATATTACTAGCTTTTAGGCTACTAAAGTTAAATGAATATAATTCAGCCTTAGGGTTTATTTCACTCATTCATCCCTTACAGCATTGCTACACAATCTGGTGCATAACTTGTATAGATCATCATCCAAACTTCCAGTCAGAAATTGCTATGGAAACATTTTTCTTAGAGATCATGGAGGGGAATAGGAATCTGTTTAAAGGATTTGTAAAACTTGATGAAAAGGGAATAAAATGTTAACATGATTCTCATCTCTAGTATAAGTTCACAATCTCTTCATATTTTGTTACCTGTGTAAATTTATAATCTGAATCTTTACTACAGTTCTTCAGTTCAGGGAAATATTGTCTTACAGTGCCTGTATGAAAATTTTCTACTGACTGGCATATCTTTAAGAAACAGTATCTTTTGCATATCTGGGTAAGGCATGATGATTGCTTTTTATTTCCTATGTCCTTTTAAAATGTCACAGTACTGGTTCACAGGATACAGCTCTAGTGTACACTTATGCTGCTGTCACTCTTAGTGCTTGTTTTAAAATGTTTTATTTTTCTGTTTTCAGTTTTACTTGTGGTCATAATCTTAATTCTTCACTAATTTTTTTCATTTTTTATTGTGTTTCTGCGCTGTTTATTGAACACATATAGATGCTTGTCAATGTTACCTTGTGCATCAGTGAATGATACTTTTAAAAAGATTTTAATGAAAAACAATTCTATCTTGTGTAGCTTTTTCTATATTAGCTTTCCTTTTGATTCAATTGATGACGAACTTTTATGTGAAAAGAGGTTGCTTCGTAAGTAGCACAGGCTGGCTTCCTTTTGTATCCTTTGTTTTTTCCATAGTGTCACTGCAACAAACCCCACCTCTTCCCGTTTTCCCACTTTCCTCTCCCTCCTTCATCTCTTGTTCCTTTACATGTCTGTTAGCCTCATTTAAAAAACAAACAAACAAACAAACAACAACCCTGTTGTCTCTCTTTTACGTCATCTTACTTGTGTGTTTTGCTTGCACAGATATGGCCAGGATGCACTGGATGCTTTGCATGTTTTGGAACTGAGTTTAGGCTAACTTACACCTCTTGGCCACAGAATGCATAAAAGCTGATCATCTCCTTGCTTTTTTGTCGCTAGGAGTATTATGAGGATCTTTCGCTTGTACCTTGGAACAGAGCTGAAAGAATTTTATAGGATCTTTGTAACTCTTACCTTAATGACAAACTTAGTTCAAATTGGCCGTTCTAAAATTATCAGTGAGGGAGAACTGC